GTCCTGCCCCCACCTCCACGTGGTGCAACCCGGGCAACGGATCCCGACTTTTGGGATCCGGCTAACGGGGGAGGCCACACCACGTTGTGAATCAGCTCTTGATTAATTTCGGGCTGATTCACAACGTGGTGGTGTGAGTTTTAGAGACGGCGTGGGCCGCCCTGAGGTAATACCTAACGGTAGTTCCGGGGAGGTCCACATGTAGGCCGGTCGTGGAAAAAAAAAAACTACATATACATGACATAGTTGGGTTCAGTATAGATGATATCTGACAGTAATTAAAATTACTATCATAAAAAATGCTTCGATGCAAATCTGTAGATAGTGTTCAATTTAAAATCAATTGGTGGATTATTCCAAAAGCATCATGATTTCCTATTTCCTTATTTATATACTGATTACATGTTTTATGATTTATAAGTGTAATATACGAATAAATATTTAGTATAGCAATTAAATATAGTATGAAATGGATATTTAATAATTTAATATTGTGATTTCATTTAATTAGAATTTCATTTCTATTCTATAATATATATAAAAAGTGTCAGTATTCCCGGAACATTTTCAAAACTTAAGTTGAAAAAATTCTACTTTCTATATGCATTTTTCTGTTTTGAACTCCCCTTGTATAAAGGGAAATGGTCCAATTGAAAAAAAAAAAAGTATATCCAATGAAAGAAGTATATAAATAGTATTTCTCATGAAAAAACTGTATTGATCCATACTTTTTTAAAAAAAGTTATAGTAATATAAAGTTAAAAATTTTAAATATAAAATCGAGAATTTTAACAGAAAAATAGCATACGGTAGTCATTTTTACCGCTAACTCGAAATAAAGTCCAAAATTTTTTTCCATATTAAGGTATATTACATTAGCTTTAATTTAAGGTATATATAAAAATGTCAGTATTTCGGGAACATTTAAAACAGTTAAGTTGAAAAAGTTAATTTTTTGTGAAAAAATTGTCTGTTTAATCTCTCCTTGTGGGCAGGTAAAAAGTCAAATTTGAATGAAAAAATGTCAAAAATTAGCGATTTTTAAATTTGAAATTTTTTTGAAGATTTCCCACATTTACGAGGAACGGGGGAAATTTTTTCAATTTTGAGATTAATGTCTTTGACTAGATACAATTTGTGATATTTTGATGTATCGTTGAAAAAAAATTGGTCCTGGGAGAATTAAAAAAAGTGGTAATAGACACAAAAAAATAAAATTAAAAAAAAAACACATCATAGTAAAATTAATACCTTTTCAACTTTGTAACAATATAATAATAAAAGGTAATTTTTTCAGAATTTTTAATAGCCGTTTTTAGAACTTCTCTTATAACAAAAATTTATGGAACTATATTACTTTTAAAACAAAAACTTATTGAATTACTAATAAAGTATTGTATACATAGTATGGATGAGTACAGCTTGTACTGGTGTATACATACTCTGCCTGCGCTACATATCCATAATATGCTTTGAAATGCTTGTAACTCAATAAGTATTTGTCTTTTTATCAACCAATCAAAATATTTTCTTAGAAAATTGTTAAAATTTGGCTATTTTTTATTTAAATTTTATTATTATTTTTATAAAAATCAAGAAAAATAAAATCTGACATATTTTAATGTAATTTAAGAATATAAAAATTTACAGTCAAAAATTAATTGTATCAAAAGTTACAAGAGTTATCAGTGAGATCTGCTCCATTTTGTATGTAAATTGTAAAGTTTAATTCTTTTTTTTTTTTAATTTAAGCTACTTCTTTTTTCTTTTAAACTATAACAAAGTTTCTTATTGATTATTCACAACGTCTATTGTCTAATTATCCAGAGGTCATATTTTAAATATAACTTTAAAATAACAACATAAAAATAATACGTATTAGATAAAAAACTAAGTGTTTAATACTTAAACTACAAACTGCAAAATTAGACATTTAGCCATGTGTTCGGAACCTTATTAAAGAATATATACCACAGTGTAAATATATATAATTTTTAATTATAACTTTATAACTGTTTTTAGGATATTTTTATAATGTTGCATAAATTCTAATTTTAAGGTTTAGTAAGATTATTTTAACAGTACCGCTGTACTAAAATCGATTTGCGTAATTACATTTGCCTTCAACATTCTAAAAGTTAAATTTGGAGTTATATTAATGTTGATCCCAATTTAGTGGTTTTGTATTTTAAATTTGCCCAGAAATTTGATTAATATTCGTCCAAATGTTTTTATAAAAAGTTATGTTATTAGCCAAATGTGTCTTATAAAAGGGTATTTTTATGCTTTACGTGGATGTATATTTATTGGAAGTTTTTTTGATAAAGTAATTTACAATAATTTCCCTTGAGATTAAAGTTCAACAATAAAAAAAACACAACTACTACAAACGTAATAACATGAAAGTACCAAAAGTAATAACTTTTGTAGGTTTGTATGATTTGTCAGTATTATATTACTAAAGAATATCAATATCAATGAATACTAAATTATCTGATTTAAGGTCTTCTACAAAATATATGTAGATACTTGTATGTCTGTTGTTCAAATTGCTCTATTCTAATGATACGTTTCTATGGTAACAACTATTGATATTCGCTGTTTTTTTAAAGTAATTGTAACAATTAAACAACTTTCATAATTGACAAATTATTTTTTTTATAGAACCAAAATAATTTTATTGTAAAGACAAGTGTTTACTCAATGACATATGTCATTGAAAAACTGTAATATTAAAGTTTTTTACATAATTACTTATTACTGTATGCTTTTAATTGAAATTAATTACTCATACTCTTATTTCAATATCTCTATTGTATGACTTCTTATTTACTTTAAAATAGTGTCACAAATGAACAACATATCAAAATTAATAAATTGTTACTTTATATGTTAGGTAGAGAGTGTTTATGTTGTGAAAGGTTGGGTTTCTATATTTATCTTTATCACATCATCCTTTCACCTCCCTTAGCACTCGTGTGCGATCAGTTCAGTCGTGTCCGCACAATGTTAACCATCGTCCCCAAGGTCGGTTTGAAGAATTTCGGTTTATCCTCTTCCAGCTTATATTTGGCTTACTTCACTTTAGGCCATCTTTATTACGTCACTTTTGGCATTGGTTAACTATTTACTAATAATCCAATTGAATAAGATTATATTATTTTTTTTAGTATATTAATGTAAGATAACATAATTATAATTAATAAATTATTAGAAAATTCCGTTCTCCTTCCATTTTATCATATCAAATGTAACCCATGCACTTGTTATATTCATATTATCCTTAATTTGAACAAAATATTTTCAATTAATTAAAAATCATTTGTTTTATTATTAACGATTCTAAACATTTTAAAAATCTGCAATTTGAAATTAAATATTTTGCTGCTATTTTATATATCCTAAATTTAATCTCTTTACTTGTATTCCTAATAAACAAATTATTAGGGTTTTAATGAATAATATAAAATTTACATTCATTTATCTCACTGTGGTATTTTAAATGATAATACTAAAAAATACAATATTTGTCATGTAATTATGGCGAGATAACAATAATTAATTTACTAATGTTCATCATACACTGAAAAAAAATATTAGGAAAATCAACAAATTTATTGTTAAGATACAGCCGAAAATAATTTTTTGTTGATATAACAAAAAAAAAAAAATTATCAAGCAAAAAACATTTTGTTCTAGTCACAAAAATATGATTGATTTTACAATTAAATAATTGTTGACCACATTTTTTTCAGTTTTTTTATTTTAATATACATAATGTATAATATTGCAAATTCAATTGGTTTTATGAAATTATTACACAAATTTAGATAATAAATCGGCTTACATTTGATAATTACAATGACGTGAAATATAACTTTTTGTTTTAGTTAATTGTATTTTTATCTTATCGATTTTTTAATAAAATTTGAAGTTTAGTACTCTTACTTTTGAGAAAAAATAATATTTAAAGACATATATGATGCATTAGTATAAAAACGCAAAAACGAAAAGTTTTGAGATCACAAACTATGCCATAGTTTTGTAATTGAATAAATAAAAAAACAGTAATTATATATTTATTTTCTATTTAAAAAAATTAAATATAAAATCAATTTCTAAAAATCATTTTAGCTCAATTAATGTAAAATACTTCAGTTTCTAACATCATAATTATTGAGCTCAATAATTTTTCACATATAATTTCCCTCTATAATAAATGGTGATCACGAAGTAGCAGAATTAAATAAAGTTTTAAATAATACTCATGTTATTACACTACTTCTTTGTCACTAAACACTTATTTCTGATCATCTCTCACACCTTTTATTTTAATTTCTAAATTATCATTAATTCATATACTTTTAAATTTAATTTTCTAACGACGCAATAAAATTTTAATAAATTATTTTACAGTCGACAAATTATTAAATTACAGTAAAATTGTATTTTTTTATATTATATTGTAAATTATCAACTCTTTTTAACTATTGATTAATTTACATCTAATTTTATTGTGCACTAAAAATTATATTGATACTAAATAAGTACAATATAATAATTTATTTAAATTTATTCTTGATTTAATTTGCTTAATTTGTGGGGTGCATTACATGTGTTATGAATTGTTTTGTTTACCAATTGAATTTTTAATCTAAATACAAAAGTTATGTTTACATGAATATTTAAAAATGCAAAGTAATAATCATCCCTCTGCTATATAATATAATTGTATGAATTATTATTCCATGAAATCATAATTAAAGATGTTTAATTTATTCTTATATAAGAAAATTAAAACAAAATATAGAAAAGAACGATGAAGCTTTTTTAAATAAAAAATGTGTATTAACGATAATTCTGTCGGTTGTATTTGTTTTATTGACTGTTTTTTTTGACTTGTTGTTTTAAATTAAAAAATTAAATCCATACTTATAAATAACTAATTATTAGTTAATGAGGTATATATTTTTTTAAATTTAAATATAATTGATAAATACCTTTACAAAATAATTTTAAGTAGTGAGATTTGCTATATATGATCACAATGAGCGAAACACGTGATGTTAAGTCTAACGGTTTAAGACACAATACAATGTTGATAAGAACTTTTAACACAAGTCCGTTCCGTATGGTGGCGGCGCGTTACTGAAGCTTTATGGCAACAAGCATAAGGGTTGTAAGGAATAACGCAGTCGCATCGTTCGATGGTTGTTTGTTTATATTTTAGCTTTAATTTAACCTTGCCTGACTACCTATCGAATTTCTAATGTCTCGTTTAATTGCTTCAATTTTGAAGAAAACACTAGTAGGCAGTGTGAGATTATAGAGCACTCATTGTATACCATGACAAATTAAAGTAACCACTTAGTGGCAACGATATATTTTGTCATCCATCGTTGGTACGTTAAAAACACGGCCGGTTTAAAGCTTAGCGCAGTAAAAACAACATCTGCTATATTTGTCAGCTTTAAAGGTATTGAATTGGATTTAAGGTGACGACGGGTCTGAAATGTAGACACGGGTCATTTCTTTCACGACTCCCGTCGAAAATCTGCAAATGACGTTTTTCCAGGTAGTTTTCAATTACTTAAATACTCTAGGGAAACTATAGGTCACGGCTTATACTACATACTAGTCGAATATACTAATTTTAAAAGAACTACAAAAAAAACAACTAATGTCTTATCATTTTCTGAAACTATTAACAAAATATTATTTTTGAACTTTGCTTTTTTCTACAAATTGGATGTCGTTGATGAATTTATAATACTAATTCAATTTTTTTAAGCCTAAAACTGTTACTAATTTTTGTCTGATTACTTAATGAACTCTAGAAACAAAAATAGTACTTCACAATTTATTTTATCAGTTATTCAGTTAAAATATTCTATTGAACTTGATGTATAGTTAAAATATTATACTCAAATTATCATGAAATATCAAAATTATTATAATAATATATTGTGATGTGTTGATCAAAAAAGGAACTTAAACAAATTTAATGAATAACGTTAATTATTTTTTAGTTAAAATGAAGATAAATAAAAGAATGATAAAAAAAAATGACCAATCAACTTTTGTAACATTGTCTTATCAGTTCTTTAGTAATATGTACGATTTTGTACATAAGATATATTTTTATAGCATTAGTTGTATTTAAAAGTGTTTTTATTCAAAACAATGAATTTTCATAGTTAATAACAATAAGAATTAAATTCTATTACGTTAACTGATAAAATAATTTATTAATAAATTAGTTTACATTTATTGCTCAATTTGTCTAAATCTTAAAATATTAATATTTCATAAAAAAAAAAAAAATACTTGTTATCGACTAGTCAACATTTTATTAGTCTATTGTTCTCTAATATACAGGTGGCCCACCACTCACTGACAACTTAAATAACTTTTGATCCAGTTAATATTTTTAGTTGATTTTTTTTTTTAATAATAGTTATACGTTAGGTCTATAGCTATATCTCAATAATTAATTTTTTTACATTTTATTAAAAATATTAATTATTTTTAAATTTTAAATAAAATGTAAAAAAAAA